CAAAAGAAACTGAATGCGCAACATGGTCGGTGGGTTGAATTTTTGCAAGAGTATACTTACACGATTAGGCACAAAGCGGGATCTGAGAATAAGGCTGCCGACGCACTAAGTCGTCGGATGATGATTACTCGTAAGATGAGGACAGAAGTGATAGGTTTCGAGCGACTTAAGAAATACTACTTAGATTGTCCTGATTTTAAAAGAAACATATTCTGCATTAACAACTGGAGGTGAACGGATTATAGATGATTTCATGTTGGAAAATGGATATTTGTTTAAATCCCGAAAACTCTATATTCTCAAAACGTCTCTTCATGAATTTCTTGTTTGGGAATTACAAGCTGGTGGTTTAGCGGGTCACTTCGGTCAAACCAAGACAATCACTGCTAATGAAAATCAATTTTATTGGCCAAGTCTTAAGAGGGACGTTAGCAGATTAGTAAAGAGGTGTCATAACTGTTAGTTGGCCAAACAAAGGAAGCAAAACACTGGCCTTTACACACCACTCCCTGTGCCTAACCAACCTTGGCAAGATGTTAGCATGGACTTTATTTTAGGGTTACCCAAAACTGTGAGGAAGCATGACTCTGTGTGTGTGGTAGTTGATCGATTCTCTAAAATGGCTCACTTCCTCCCGTGCTCCAAAACTTTCGATGTTTCTAGGATCGCCAAACTATATTTTGACGAAATTGTTAGACTCCATGGGCTACCCAAAACTACTGTGTTATACCGAGATGTTAAGTTTACGAGTTATTTCTGAAAAACCTTATGGCACAAGATGGGGACCAAACTTTAATGTTCTACTGCTTTCCACCCCTAGACAGATGGACAGACTAAGGTTGTGAATAGAAGCCTAGGAAATCTGTTAAGGACCTTGGTGGGAGATAACATACGGGATTGGGATTCCAAATTGCCTTTAGCTGAGTTTGCCTACAACAATTCAGTCAATCGAACTACAGGTCTAAGTCCCTCCGAAATTGTGTATGGATACCAACCTAGACAGCCGATAGATCTGATCCCTATGTGTCATAAGCATAGAGCATTTGAATCTGCATCTGCGTTTGCATCCCATCTCCAAGAGTTGCATAGGGAAATTAACCAAAATTGAACAAAGCAATGCTAATTATAAACTGCATGCAGATCTCAAGAAACGATTCAAAAAATTTGAAATTGGAGACTTTGTAATGGTTCAGATCCAACCGGAGCGATTTCCACCAGGGATCGTTAAAAAGTTACATGCAAGTGATGTAATCAAAAATTTGGGAGAGTGACCCAAATTTTTTATCACAAAAGATAAAGACTTCCTAACTTGCTCTAATACCAAATTAATGCAATCAAAAATTTGGGAGAGGACCCCAAATTTTTTATCGCAAAAAGACTACCTTTCTAAGAAATAGAAAATGACATGAATTGTCAAAAAGACACTAAATATGACAATTGAACTAAATAACAACTTTCATATTATAATAAACTATTACAAACTTGGACACAAACAAACAACACAATAAAGACAATAACTTTCCTAAAACTGCTTGCCAAATGTTGAGAAAAAAGATCCAGATGGAATGGCACTTGCGGAGAGACGAAAGAGGTTAGAAGCCGAGAAGAAGGGTGGAAAGAACTCGCAAGTCTCCCCAAGAGATAGAAGAAGAAGAAGTTGACAAAGCTCGCAAGCTTTTCCAAAAACCCTCAGGTTTCTTTCCAAAAATCACATTTTTTCACTCCTTAAAACAGCCACAACATCTCATATTTATAGACATTAGAGGGGAATACAAACAGCCCCAAAAACCTTACACATTCTATATTAAATGAGGGAGATGAAAAGCTAACAGTCAACTCCAGGAAACGAAGCACCAAAGCTACGAAAAAGCCCCCAAACAGCCACGGGAAACAGCCCAGCCAGGGACCCGAAGAGGCAGCCGCGGAAACCCAAGCGGCCCGCACGGAACCGAGGCACCAAAGATTGGGAAAGGCCACCCAGCAGTCAACCGGGAAAGCCAAGGAGCCAAAGGCACGGGAACCCAAGAGCCAGTCATAGGAAACCAAGAGCCAACCGTGGGAACCAAGGAGCCAAGGCACGGGAACCAAAGAGACAGCAAATGGAGGAATGTACATCAATTTATGAGCTAAAAAGGCTCTCTACGAGACATTAATGAGCTGATTCTAGTAGAGGACCTAAAAGCTCACCAAATTTATAATTCAAAATGTTTTGACCCCCCCCCCCTTTTCCTATATCAGCAAGGAGCGCATGACCTTTCAAAATAACTTCAAAAATAAATAGTAATACCTATGTGCTAAACCTTCCTGAAGGTTTTAACATTAATCCTACGTTTAACATTGAAGATCTGGTAGCCTTTGAGGGTCCTGAGTTTTAACCCTTCAAATCCACTAAATAAAGAGCCATGTGTGAACCCAACTGGTGAGAACCCTAGCTTACCCCCACTCCAAAACATCCCTATCCACACCCCTGCGAAGAAGATTGAAGCTATATTTGGTGATGAGATTATTTCCACTAGAGGAGGTGGCCGCCGAAGGTACCTAGTTCAATGGACGGGGAAGCCAGAGACGGAGAATAAGTGGATTGACTGCGAAGAGCTGCAGCGATTCGATCCTGATCTGTTAGAGTGGTACGAGAGTTCTAGAGATATTGACTCGACGGGGTCAAGTTTTCTCCCACCTGAGGAGAATAATGAGGACATCGCTTAGAGATTCAGACACGTGTACTGGCGACGGGATCGTAGATCGACGGCTACGCTTCAGCGTCTTTACTTTGACGCTTTATGTTTTATCTAGTTGTATGCATGATGTTTTATTTAGTTTTTTTGTTATTTTCCGCTTTTACCCTTATGGGGAGTATCTTGTCATTGTAGCCCGGAGGGCATGTTTGTACTTTTCTTTTCATGTGGAGAGGCCTATATATAGTGGCCCATTGTGTCTTAAAAGGGGGATGAATGTTTAATGAAATTTTGTTTGCTTCTTCTTCTTCTTGCAAGAGAGCTAGAGAGAAGGGAGAGAGCTCGAAGTGAGCAAGCACAAGGCCCACCAGTCGTTGGAAGAGTCCTCGACTCGTGGTTTTCTCATTTATCTTCGTCTTCTCCACCTCTTCCCTCATTCCCACCCGCCAGCCTTCCATAACCCCCACCACCGTCCAAGCCCACCACCAAGCTCACCACATAATCCCACCTCCCCAAGCCCACCGTCCACTTAGTCCCCACTAACCCACCCCTTTTCCCCCACTGGCTCCACCACCCGTCCCCACCCGAGCCCAAACCCACCGCCGACCCACCCAAGGAATTCGCTCATGATGATGATTTCAATCATCATAACTCCCCTCTTAATTTCGTTTCAATAGAAAGGAAAGTAATTATCACAATTTGAAATTTGAAATTCAAATTTCAAAAATTTTCCTTATTTGCAAATCCTAATTAAGAAAGTACTTAGATCCAAATCGGTTTGAAAATCAAATTGAAGTGGATTTCATAATAAACTTTCCTAATTCCTATGTGCTGATTTGGAAGCTCATAAATTGCTCCCACACTCCCTCTCTCTCTCTTGAACCCGCCGGCCCCCATTAATGAGCTCTCTCCTTGTTTTTCCTATTGAGGCCTTAACCCAAATTGAATTTGAATTCAATTTTCAATTTGATTCCCTCCAAATCTAATTAAATATGAATTTATTTATGATTTACTGAAATCTGATTCCAAACCCTAGTCCCTCTTCCCCCTTGAAGCCGCCGGCCTCTCTCCCTCCTTAAGCCGCCAGTTTCCCTCCCCACCGCCATCTCTCTCTTTCTTCCTCCTTCTTGTGTCCCTTCCTTTTCTCATGCTTATGATGAATGGCCGATCCCGAGGTTGATCATGGTTTCTCCTACAATGATCGTGGGGAGATCGACATTCTTCTCTCTCCTTTCTACGATCCTGATTGGGAATACGACGAGACTGTGGAGAGATATGTCAAGCGCAACCTCTATTGCTTAGCAGAGACGATCGATCTTCAAAAGCCTAAGACGCCTTGGCTTCTCGTTGGGAGATCTACCCCTTCTCCGTCCATGGCTACCTCTCCATCAACAAAGACCTTCGATACTATCTTCCTAGTGGCAATTTCTCTCATTGTATGCTTCATCTTCAACCGCTAAGCCTTAGAGTGATTGAGTGAGTAAGAACCTAAGTGACCATGTCTTGATGTTACGCTTTTGATTCTTGTTTACATGCTATTAGAACTACTATTTAAATTTTGTTGTTATCGCAATTGTCTTGCTAACCTCTTGTAACGGCATACCTTTACTTAACCTTCCAACAGAAAGTTCTAAGAATTTAACTTGATTGAAGCATGAGTTATTAATTAGCAATGTAATAATTCAATCTTATTTGTTACAATCCCAAAGCAACTATTCGCTCATCACAATTAGAAGTTGGAACCTGCAAATTTCAAAACTTCTTAACCCTACTATTATTTATGTTTAACAAAAGCCCATCTTTCATGGCCCTAAAATGATAATGGAACAAGGTTTCCTAGTTTGAATACCCATACAACATACATCCTTACCATGTTTATTTATTTGTGGGGTTTCAATGATATTTTCTTAGTGGAGACCCTGCCACACCGCACATTTGGGTAGATGATGAAATGAGGGTTTGCTAGGAACATTGCAGACTCAAAGGAACTTACAGAGGATATGAAATACAATTAAATCACAGGGAGGGCAAGTAAAAGGCCAATCGTTCGCAATTTAGTAGCTCCAATAGTGCTGGATAAGGCTTTGCAAGCAATAGAAAAATTATTATTGTTAGTTTTCTCAAAAAAAAAACATAAAAATAGGCAAATAGGCCTTCTAACAAAGCTAGAAAATAAGGCAGGAGATCAAACTTCTTCCTCCACTTGGTCAATTAGTTCACTGAGCAGCTATGTCATGCTAAGGCATCATTAAGTTTGTAGATTTTAAATAAATAAGCCAAATGGGCTAAAATATGAATTCAGTTAAGAAATGGTTTAAAACGTACTTTTTGAAGCTTTAAAAGCATTTTTCCAAGACTAGGATAGGCTCTGCAAAGTGATGCTTCCATAGCAAATTCCTTCCATGCTATAGTCCTACGAGCATCCTCAATGACAGCCTGTGATTTGACTTTACTACTTGAGAAAATTTAAAGATGAAAAGTGGGAAAACAACAATAAGAGGAAATATGAATTTCAAACCTCTGTATGTAACTGGTCGCTGATATTTAGCATTGCAACAGCAAGTTTTTGCATGATATACCGACGTGGGGTGCTCAAATCCTTTACTAATTTTCTCCAACTACAATGAGTTCCATAAGCAAGCGGTTCTGGAAACTCTTCGATTGGACAAACTAGCAGCATATCTACCCATGAATATGTCTTTGTTCGAGGGAAAAAAATGGAAACATATTTCTTTCTTTCATGAGTAGGTTTGGCCCTCAAAGTTGACAATGGGCAATCAACTGTGGGGCATCTAAATCCTGTTTGCCACTTTCCTCTCCACTTTACTCAAGCCAAGGAGAATCATAAAAAAAATGCAAGGAGTCAGAACATATGTTAATTATTATTATATAGATACTGTGCAAACAAGCTATAGCAAAAAATAGGTTTAGCAACCTCATGCAACAATCGGGAACAAATGGAGAATAATGATCATTCATAAATTGATCCCAAATAGTTGGGATAAGGCTACTGATGATAAGTGTTTACAACAAGAAATAGAATTTTTTCATCATATAAGAAAGCATCCTGACTTAATCCTCCATCCTTCAATGCATATGAAATGATAGAAATACAAATGTTATTGTTTCAACTGTAAACCTACTACATGGTATGTATATTTCTAACACGATTTATAACATCACAGGATAGCAAAATGCAATGATAGAGAAAATGAGCCCTTTGACGATCCTTGTTCCACAAACCGATGCCATGTTTGAGCTTAGCATACCAGATGTTGTAGGGGTGGAAACAACGCGCTACCTAGTTTTAGGCGTGTAAAATTATACCTTATTAGTCAATAACATGAATGATATAGTAATGTCTAGGTCATATTGATATAGTTTCATTGAGCATATTATGGAAAATATAAAATGGATGGGCACATAACTTCTAATGCTAAGGTTGGATCATAAAATTAAGAATTGTCCTCATTATACTTTGAAAAAAGAAAATGTCATGAAGATTAAGGGTGAATTCTATAAAACTGAATTAGTCATGTATTTTATATAGATTTAAGTGATGTGTAAAATAAAGTCATTAAAAATTAAGCTGATTGTGACAAATAAAAATGTTATGGTGGAATTATGGTGAAACTAAGAATGATGGGTAAGAAGTGATCACATTAATGAGACAATGCAATTAACATATACTATAGATATGATAGTAGAAAATTGGCAGAAGTTGTTTCAACATATAGAATTAAAACACAAGATACTTCAAAAATCCAGAAGATAGAAAGATAGAACTAAAGTGAAAAGAAAAAAAAGTACAGCAAAGATAGGTAGAAGTTATGCATTAAAAAACTTGCGTAAACTAGAGTTAAGATAACACATAGCACTCGATAAGATAAATGGAGATAGATAATTCAAAATTTTGTTACAAAATAGGTCCGTTAAGGTTGTTGAAGCTAAAGAGAAGCCATGACAAGGTTGATCAATCTTACCCTATAAAATGAAAATGCACTATACTTGCGTAAACTAGAATTAAGATAACATGTAGCACTCGATAAGATAAATGGAGATAATTCAAAATTTTGTTACAAAATAATTCCGTTAAGGTTGTTGATGCTAAGAGAAGCCATGGCAAGGTTGATCAATATTACCCTATAAAATGAAAATGCACTTGTTAACCTCTGCTATGAATAAAAAAAGGGAAAGATCAAATAAAAAATACATACCATAGCCTCTGTCATACATGTACACAAATCCTGCAGAAAATCTCATCATTCGCTACAATCCCGTCGCCACAGTCGCTCCATACTTCTGCAAGCGGCGCTGTTTTAGAGCAGAGCACGCAGACTCCCGCTCTCATTTGCATCAATAAAAGGAGAAGGAAGTGAAACTCTCGGGGCTCTCTTCACTTTCGTAAGACTCCCGATTCCTCCTCTACTTCCTCCGATTTCACACCAAACCGAACTCTAGCCCCTTTCTTCTTCGCTTCATCCCAAACACAGAGCTCGCAAGCTTCGCCACTTCCGACCTCCTCCCATCAGTTCTCCACCGAACCCAACATCTCATATAGCTGCTACCTTCAACCGAAGCCTCCACTCACTGTATTGAATCCCTCAAGCCGAAAATCCCTTGCCTTCTTCCTCTGTCCCGACCGAAGTCCCCTGCAGCCAGCCCGACTACATCCAAACTTCCTCGGGCCTGCTTCAGGCCGAAACCAGGACCACCTAAGATCCTCAATCTCTCAACTTCTTCTGATTCCACGCAAGGCACACTCCATCTCTCCGCCTCCGCCTCTTTCCAGTTCGCGGAGAGAGAGAGAGAGAGGATCGGTGCCCTAACCTCCTCCGACGACGCCTCTTCCTATTTAGATCGGAAGCAACACCTGGGAGCTTGCTCCCTGCGAAGGTAACTCCCTCTCTTCCGTTCGCTTCTTCGGCCAAATCCCGCTAAGCCGCGAATAGGAAGAAGGGAATTTGAGTAGAAGTGAGATTTAATAGTTCCCTAACTCTTGTTTAATGAGATTCAACTCAAATCTCGCATAATTTTCCAAATCTTGACGGGATCAAGTTAAATCTCATTCATATCCAGCACAAATCTCTATTAGGTCATGTATAATCTTTTTTTTAATTATTTATTATAATTAATTGTTTAATAATAATGATTAATTATATTTAACTAAAATTAGTTATAATTAAATATTTAATTATATTTGATCATGATTACCCATGCACGCTTTTTTTAGCGTGGTGGGATGGAACTTGGTGCGGTGCTTACAACGAAGCAGGCGATCCTTGTGTGCGCTTTTCTTAGCGTGGTGGGGCAAAAATATAAGTACTCGTACATGGGAAAAGAACTGCTTTTTTTTAAATATCTACTTTTAATAACCCATGCACGCCTTTCTTGGCGTGGTGGATGACAAACCCTACAGTCGCGGTGTCTCACAACACCGACCATGCACGTCTTTCTTGACATGACGGGTAGGCTGCCTCTTGGTTTTTCCCGTAAATGGGAGAGACGCCAGGAGGCTGCCAAAATTTTATCTGAGAAAGATAAGGACTTGAAGAAATTTTGGACAATAAGGACTTATACTTGAATAAAAATCAAATGACTAACAAAGGCTTGAACTTAAATAAATGAAATTGAATGAACTAAGCCTGAACCATATGCAGAAGAACTCAAATGAACAAGGACATGAGTTGAACATTTAAACTCAAGCAAAGACTTGGGTTGGACTACAGAGGACTTGGATCAATTTTTGAACTTACACAAGACTTGAGCTTGATCAAACTCAAAGGATAAATGAGAATTTATGAACTTGATTCAATTGATCTAAATGAATATGAACTTAGACTTGCAACAAATAACAACGAATTGGACTTTGATTCGAATATGATTTGAACTCAAAAGATCACAGGGGACTTTGATTTGGACTTGAGCTTGAACAACAGAGCAAAGGATTATGCTGAGGACTTGAACAAAAATTGAGACTTGAATAAAGTCACAAGGGAACTTGATTTGAACAAAATGACAATGAACTTGAATTTGAGCTTGAGTCGGGTTTAAATATAATTGAGGGGAATGATTTCTTGAAAGATACAGAAAATTCCAATGAATTCATCATTTCACTTTGAATGCAAAGTGTTAAGTGGAAGTTCAAGATATTGTCACTTCAATCAAATTGAGAATATTAATAGTGTCATGTTCATCATACATATTGCAAGTATAAGGTGATCTTTAATTGAAGAAGGCCATGGGAGAAAGAGCTTGATCATAGAGCCATAGTATGAGCCCTTTAGATCTTGACAACCCACTCTCAATGTTGGACATACCTCATCCCCAAATGACAATCAACAGAAATCGTCATTTCAATTGGATGGCAAATATTAACGATTAAAGGTGACAAGTTAATCATATATATACATCACAACCTACCAGGGAGGATGAAAAATTTTCAGATGTAATTTTGGAAGACATTGATCGAGCATGGAATAATAGAAAACATGACTCATCTATAATTGGCATCCAATAAGAATGGTAGAAGTGTGATATTATGTTCACAAATGACAATGATAGTTGAACCATACGACAATAGTTGAGCTACAAGTGTAATGATGTCCCTTCAATTAGCCATCTTATAAATATGTGGAAACTCCTACGGGTATATGAAGGTGTGCAATGAATACAACATCTTGTGGTCGACGTCAAGTAAATTGTAAATGAGCATGATAGCCTACTTGCAAACAATGAAGATTATGGATGCACCTATCGAGTACAACATAGGACCGCAGTGCATATTTATGTAACAATGCTCTACAAGCAACATTAAAATACAAGCAGATACATTCAACCTTATTAATAAAGAAATTGGAATTGACATCAATCTTCATATCACTCGTATCAGAAAACATGATAACCCATACTACATCTATGTGCAAACACTAATAAAAAGTTGTAGATGCTAGAAGAAATTATGGTGTGCCCACAAATGACTACAGAAAGTCTATCATGCATACAGTGATACATCTACAAGCATCTATAATATTAAAGCAAGAGATTAGTTAGTGCACTATAATCCATCTACAAAAAGAGACAAGTAGTGCACGACAGTTTACCTGTACAAAGAGCAAACAAGTCAATTCAGAAGCTGCTACAATACACCACCGGATCTACAACCTTCTTACAAGCAGACAGAAGACGTTTACAAATATTTTCAAAAATATTCCTGCACATGCACTTGTGGGCTCCGAAAATTCAACCCCGGCCTCCGCCCGTCTTTTCTTATTCGGCGAGGGAGTTTTAACGGAATAAGTTCCGGGGTAAATTTTGGAAGGCAGATGGGTTTGTAGATAAGACACTACCCAGAGATTTCGCCCTCATTATGCGAGGACTTTATGATCTGAGTTCTGGTTTCCTATAGGCGCAAGCCCCTATAGTTAATTACCCCTCCCGATCACGAGCTTTCGATTAAGGCTAGTCGTCAATCAGATTCGTATAGAGATACGTGCATCTGGCATATAGTAGCAGCAATAAGTATGGATTTGAAAATAGTTGGAGAATTTGAGAATTTGGAAAGTTTGGATGTTTAGAAATTTGGAGAGTTTGATATTTAAAGTAGAAATTTCACCATCCTGCACTTAAAGCTGATGGTGGGGGAATGGATGATGGACCCGATCAAGATCCCATGGTTCCGTCATCCCGAGCCATCGTGGTCCCTGG